AAACTCGATATCAGAGTTTATTAATTCTAAAGACCAAAATTTTTTTAAGACAGGCATCTACGCTTTAAAATCTCGTTGGGAGAAGTGTATTGAAGCGAATGGAGCATACTTTGATTGAATAAACAGCTTTTGAAGAAAGATATGCAGTTTTATACAATCACTTAAGAATCCGACATTTCATACGCACCAACCTAATACTTTATGGGCGGTGAGGACTCCAAAAGCGCAGTCGATAATCGCGAGGATGTACGTTGCGGCTACAATAATCCCAATTCATCTCAGGCCAAACGCATCGTTAGCGAGCTAGACGCTCTTTTGAATGAGCACAATGAATTGTTGAAAATATTCAAATCACACATGCACAAATTAGAGACTGACAATCACGCTATTATTATCAATCCTGATAAAAGACCAGCAGGAGAGCACATTGGTAGATTCAAGGCACCTATTTTTGACGACGCTGCTGGAATGATGGTTGGCGTTCATACAGCTTCGCGAGAAATCGTGATTCGAAGAAAAAAAAGTAATCTTCAGTTCATCGCTGATACACACTGTTCATACGATGCTCTTCAATATCCGCTAATGTTCTATAAGGGACAAGACGGATATTGCATAAATATTAAACAACGAAATCCCGTAACAAGTACTTTATTCATTATGAGCATCATTACTTAATTTAATTTGATATTTATGAATATATTATTACAGGAGCTGAAACAAACAAGAACGTTAGCTCGAAGGATTACTATGCGTATCGGTTGATGATTAGACGCGGTCAGGACAAAATCATTCTACGATTTCGTGAACTTTGCCAACAATTCATAGTAGACATGTACGTGAAGATAGGGAGCGAATGACTAYGATACTTACGATTTAATCAACAGAAACTGCGTGCGGAAGAATACAATCACTTGCGTGGGACTATTGTAAACAACGCCGAAACCGCAGAAATTGGTAATTCAGTCATTCTACCATAATCGTACATAGGCAATCCACGTTACATGCAAGAATATAAAAAGGAAGCTATGACTTTCGTGCTAAAATAYGAACGGAAAAACATCGTACAATCCATAAAACTTACAGATTTATAATGTTTCTTTTAGTGTTATTATGATTAGTGATTATCATATTATTGCGATATGTAAATATAWAATAGATTAATTGATGTTATTAAGTACAATGAATTAAAGAAATGGATKTTTGGTGTTTTGAAATTATGCTAGGTGCTAAGTTGGAAAAAAACGCATGTAATAAAACAAATTTCAATAAGATAAGATAAGCAGTTTCAGAATTATTAATAGACAAATAAATTGTGACACTGATTTTTATATATAGACTTTTATTTATTAATTAATATATAGAATAAAAAATTATATAWTGAATTTTATTAATTAATAAATTATCTTTGTTTTATCAGTTTTACGTTCTTTCATTTAACGATTTTTAAATCGATCTGATTTTGAAAAAGTTTTCACCTCAAAAAAAGCCACAGCAACGCGTGGCCGGGGCACCCTAGTAATATTCTAATAGACTCATATCTAACTACCGGCGCGAAAGTTTCAGAAAAATCAATTCCTTCTCGTTGAGTGAAGCCTTTTGCCACAAACCTAGCTTTATAACGCTACACATTACTGTTCGAGTCCAGTTTCTTAGTAAAGACCCATTTACAAGCTACAGTCTTTTTATTTTCTGGTAGACTTTCTAGTGTCCATGTTTTATTTTTACTTAGCGCACTCATTTCTTCATTCATCACACATTTCCATTGCACTGCTTCTACACTAGACACCGCACTTTCATATGTTTGGGGCACTACATCCGCTATGGAGGCATAACCAAACTCACTATAGCGGTCTGGCACACGTAATGTTCTTCTATCGCGCAATTGTCTACCGGTTTGTTGCACTTCATCCTGTTGACGGTT